CAGAAATTCAGAACGCTGGCACCAGAGGCGGATCCAGCCCCAACCCCAGTACCTCCCTATTCAGAGCTGATATTTCCATAAATCATCCTCTAAGACCACTACTCGAAGCTTCCCTCAACTCTATCCTACAAGCCGTCGCCCCCAGGACCCTCCAATCTTACCTAACAGCTTGGAAATGCTTTAAAGCATTTCACTCCACCTACAACCTGCCATTTCCCGACTTTTCCTTGCTTGCTATCACCTCATTCATCTCTCACCTTAACATCATCAAAAACCTCCAAATCAGCTCCATTAAGGGTTATCTAAGCGGAATCCCCCAGCACGGGGAGGAACACTTGGGGGGAGCATTTTGGGTCCGGGCTTAATCCCGAGCTCGGACCCCTCTCCCCGGCCAGGGGGAGTACCCCGGGCTCGAGAGTAATTACCGAGCTCGGAGCCCTCTCCCCGGACAGCACGCCAAATACGCATAAACTTTACTCGGTTCATTATAAGTAAGTGTGAACTCGTGAAACACACTGCAGCGCTGCCAATATCAATTTCCTTGAATGATCCTCAGGAGAACTGCACACTGAGGAAGACATAGAACGCTGTGTCTCTTTTTCCTTTCTCCATATGATAAACAATCATACAGAAAACTACATTTAGAGTGCTATGTAAACAGTGGAGATGGAAGCGCACTGTGGTGACACAAAATCTGAAAAAAGCAGCCCTCCGAGGGCAGTTCTTTAACACTTTATAGAAGTTAAAGTCAAGATGAAACAGCCGACACAAATCATTTTACTTCCATAAAGTGATGTTTTTCTGCCAGGATCTTCAACGAGAAAGAAAAAAAAATTTTAAAACTTGGGCCTTGATTTTATACATTGGGAATTGATTGGATCATAAAAAAGTGGTGTCTATGACAGGTCTCTGCATGACTTTTTTTTTTTAAGTTATGAAACTTTGAGGGAAGGTTACAAATACAATTTTGAAAAACAAGCTAAATAAATAAATATAACAAACTGAGGGACGATTACAAAAAATATGAAAAACATAAATATAAATTTATATTTATGCATACATTATGAAAATTGAAGAAAGATTGAAAAAAATTATGATTTTGTAAAAAAAAATGTCTAAAAAAATGTACAAAGACAATTTAGGGGGAAAATAAAAAAAAAAATGGAGAGAATTTGAGTAAAGATTACAACATTTTTTTAAATTTCAATTTTAATATAAAACAATTTAAAATATTTTTCATTATGAATAAAATGGGGGACGATTATGAACTAAGTTTTTCAAAAATCATGAATTGTATAAAAAAAAAATTTAAATAATTTTTTTTAATTTAGTGAAATATTATTGTGAACTATTAAACTGTTGACAAATAGAGCAGAAACATCCAGGGACAATTTAAATTGTGTTAAATATATATATATATATATATATATATATATATATATACTGTATATATATATCCTATATCATTTAAATCCAACTGGCTGGATCTTAAAACATTTCTACTGTATAAATCATGCATGATTGGAGGGGAGGGGTTAAAAAAAAATAAGAGAACTTTATGATGTCAGCTGAAAAGGAAATTCATTTCAAAGGCAGAGCAAGTTATTAGCTACACTTTGATACACAGAACATGCATTAAGGAAGTAAATAGGTTCAATTTTGAATTCATATTGACTTAATGGAAGGTTAGGAACTAAAAATACACAGCGAGTTGTTTAGCACCTACGCTAAACAGCTTAGTTCACTACATTTAAAAGAGTTAATGACTCATTCTCAGGCTCCACTATCCATTTAAACCTTTCAGCTTCAAGATTCAGAGACTCCACAACCTTACTTCTTTAGACACCACTTCTCTCTCTCTCTCCCTAGTCTGACTTACAGCAGGAACGGGCTGCATAAGATTAGATCACAAATTACCCACCCAGAGATCTGCATCTCTTCCTCATCTCTCACTACATCCCCACACCTCACGCCCCCTCCCTGTTCTCTCCGCCCTTCGTGCGCCTCTCCTGCTTTCATCTTTCATTACAGTGCAGTGTCCAAGGTTGCAGGGCCGACGTGTGACTGTATCATCTGCAGAGCTGCAGAGAGTAAAGCGTTCTGGCGGACAGAGCAGGTCTGCTTGACTGATAAACACCCTCACCTAGACTTCAAGCTGCAGGTGTGTGCGAGCTGCCGCCCGCTGCATCCAAAAAAATTATGTGAGGTGCGAGGTGTGTAACGGGTCCATCACACAGGGCTTCCCACCACACACACACACACACACACACACACACACACACACACACACAGACACTCCGCGTT